CACTACTGATTTTTGAGATTATGTGCATCAAACGTCAAACCGTATGGCATTTTAGAAGGCCAAATGTTAACGCTTTAAAATCGCAAAAGGGCGGGAAGATATATAAAATTTAAATTGTTATTTCGGTTGTATGAAATCTAAAGCTCAGAACTTTTTTGTACACCTAACAATTCCTTGTAACAGTTTACATATTGACGTATGCTCCTTCTTTTAATATTTATTTCAATGATCGACATGTCCTACTTTTTATTTAAATTGTATCAGTCATTAATTCCCTCACGAGCTATCATTAATACGTATTTAATAAGACTTTCTCAATTTGCAATTAATTTGAAATGTTAATCCGTAGTATCTTATCATGATTTGATCCAATGTTTTAAGATTTTCTTTCGTGTTTGGAGTGAGTCACTGTCTGTCATTAGTTTTTCTTCTTATTAATAAATATTTTTTATATTATGTAGTTTAATGTTTTAATAGAATGTATAACATCAAATCAGCAAATTTCATTGACTTTTCCTTAAACATGCAAAGAAAAAATTTTAATGCTTGTATTGCTGAAGACGACTCCAAAGAGAGTCGAAACATTCAAAGATTATTGGTTCAAGCATTAATTTTGCGTACTAATTACCACGCCGACTCTCAATCACCCTTGTTTAAGATTCTTTTTTTGTTTGAATTTGGGAGAGTCCTTTGGAAGATTATTTCTGAAATATTTCTAAATACTTTCAATGCTGTGTGGGTTTACTAAAGAACCACCTTAAAAATTGCAAGTGATTTATTAATTTCTCTAAAATAATAATGCATCAAGTATTTTTACTTAAATTATACGTAAGTAAATTTATTCGTTTAATTCACTAATACCTCATCACTTTTTTTTATAACTTAGAAGGGCGTACACCTTTCCTGATAAAATATTTTTCAAGCGGTTTAAATAGAGGATATAATGATTGACTATTTTTAAATGAAAAAATATCATCGATCTTCTTAACTTCTTCATCAGTTGATAAATCGTCAGTTTTTTCGATTGTGTTATCAGGTGAGCTCTTTTCCGTTGAGACCGTGGATATCACATGTACCGACAATTTATGTCGATCCTTACTATGTACATTTTCCTAGGAGATTTTAAATGATAGATGTATTATATATTAATTTTTCTTTTTTACAATAAAACATTTTCCTTTCGGAACATTAAATGATATATTCTGTATATAAGAGTAAATTGATTACCTTAAAGAAATTAAGTAATTGATGCCGTGATATTGTCTTTAAGTAAGCCACTTCAATATTGACTCGATCGAAGTTATATTGTTGGGTCACAATCTCATTCCAGTACAAGGTACACCTTGCAGTTAACATTTTTGGTTTTTCCAAACGTAATGTAGCTAAAGCTTTCTTGTTTTCTTCAAATTGCTCTTCTGTCATGGTAGATATATGATTCTGAAATGTAATTGTTAGTAATATTAATTTTAATAAAAATACAGCCTTGTATTATCACATAAAAAATGGAGTAATATATTTGATTATAATATTATATTATAAAATATTGTGTGATAAATGTAAAAAAAGAAAATGTAGTTCAATTAATCAACGCATTAACATATACTATTATTGTATACACTGTTGGGAAATTTATGTCGTGTGTTATATAACACATGTCATATGTTCCAAACAGTCCACTCAAATTTTTGTGTCCATTTACATAAAATGAATATGTTAGAAAACACAGATATTATCTATAAAAAAACGATCACAAAAAAGGTAATACTGACACAATCTGTAAACAAAAGTATATTTTTTAGTATAATTGACATTTATGATATATTAAATTAACACGTATTTCATTCATTCATCTTGGAATTTACATTTTACAACACATGGTTTTTATGTTACTTGTTCAGTTACTC